GGTAGAGTGGATTTTAAAAGAGTGAACCAAAGATATCCTACCTACAAGAAACTCAGTTCAAATATAACAATATAGGCAGGTTAAAAGTAAAAGAGGGGAAAAAAATATCATGCAATCATTAATCAAAGAAAAACATGAATGAATATACTATTATCAGATAAACTTCAGAGCAAAGAAAATTATCAGAGACAGATTGGGACATTTTATAATGATAAAAGGGTCAATCTACCAAGAAGACCTAGCGTTCTTATATGTTTACACACAAAACAACAGAGCTATGAAATATGTGAAGCAAAAACTGATATAACTGAAAGGAGAAATACATAAATCTACAGTTATAGTTGAAGACTTCAACACAATTCTACCAAAAATTAATAGAATAACTAGACAGAAAATCAGAAAGGCTATAGGAGAACTCAACAATACCATCAACCAATGGGATCTAATCTGCATCTATAAAACAGTCCACCCAACCACAGCAGAATATATATCTTTTCAAGTGCCCATGGAACATATATCAAGATGGACTATATCTGGAGCCATAAAACAAATGTTGATAAATTTAAAAGAATCAAAATTATACAGAGTGTGTTCTCTGACCACAGTGAAATCAAACTAGAAATCAGTAACATAATGATAACAGGAAAATCTCCAAATACTTGGAAACTGAGCAATCATTTTTAAATAATCCATGGATCAAAGAGTAAGTCTCAAGGGAAAATTAAAAATACATTGAATTGGGGGGCCAGCCCTGTAACCAAGTGGTTAAAAGTTCGGCACGCTCCGCTTCAGTGGCCCAGGTTCATGGGGTCCAATCCCAAGCGCCAACCTAGACCACTCAGCAGCCATGCTGTGACAGTGTCCCACATACAAAAAATAGAGGAAGATTGGTACAGATGTTAGCTCAGGGCTAATCTTACTCAAGTAAAAAAAAGAGGAAGATTGACAACAGATGTTAGCTCAGGGCCAATCTTCCTCACACACACACACAAAAACATAATAAAGAACAAGCAAGACATTTGAATAAATGGGGAAATATCTTCTGCATTACATGGGATGACTGATACTAAAAACAAATTATTTATCCCTAAATTGCTCTATAAACTCTGTATAGCCTCAATCAAAATTCAAGTTTAATTTTAAGGAACTCAATAAACTCACTGTAAAATATGTACGAAAAAATAAAGACCTACAAAGAGTTACATGAACCTTGGGTGGGCAGGCGGTGGAAAGAGAGAACTAGAAATGAGTATTCCCCAGGTCCCCCAGCAGGGAACTACAAACTTAGTCTTCTCTTGCTACTGAGGTCTTGTCTCTGTGCACGTCCAAAGGAAGCCCAAGTTTTACATCTTTCTCCCCACTGCTGCCAACCTTGGCTTCTTTCCTTCATATTGTGAATGTGCCAACTGTCCTCCATCTGCTTTGCCAACCCACTCTCCGCACTTCTCCATCCCAGTGTCTGCCCAGGGTGCTGAGCTGTGAGACATCACAGGCTCCCAAACTCCCTGGCTTCCTCTTGCTTTCAGCCTTGTCCTGAGAGCAGAGGAAGGAGGAGAGTGAGGTCAGGGGTTTTTACTCCCTTGGCTCCCTCCCTGCAAGGTCACCTTGGGCTGGCATTGTCCCTTGACTGAAGGAAACTGCTGCCAGCAAGGTGGCAGCTCCACAGGGCTTGTTCTCCTTCTGAGTTCTGATAACCTCTCCAGTCTCCCGTATCTCGAGGCCTTGGGGTAGTAACAGCTCAGCTGCTGCTAGCTCCAGGTGACTGTACTAGCCTCCACCCACTTCTTTGTAAATACTTCCTTGTGAATAGACTCTCCTTGAACTATCCTATTTGAGTGTGCCATCTGTCTTCTGTTGAGGCCCTGATACAATGAAAGCCATATATTTCTTCATTCCCTGCCCCAGACCAGTCTGGTCAGGGGCTCTTGGAAGCCTCATATGCAATGGGAAAGTGGGAGAGGAAGGGTCGAGAGAGCCAGTGAGTCCCCTGCTGGGAGCAATCCCTTGGGGCTTGGGGCCTCTCTACTCTCTGCAGCCCCTGGGGATTGGTCTAGGCAAGGGGTGGCAGGAAGCACCAAGGAGAAATACCCCCTGCCCTGCTTCAAGACAGTCTGAGGGCTCCTGGGAATGGCAGGCTCTCCAACAAAAACCAGAGTGGGGATGGGGTTAGACTCCACTCTCATTTGTCATCGGATTTGCCCAATCTTACTTTGGAAACGGAATTACTTGAGAAGATGCTCTAAAAATAATTTTCCTAAATAAACATTGAGATTAAATACCAATCTTTGTTCCTTTCACATGAAATGTGTGAATGGGTAAGGAAACAAGGAGAACCTGGACCACAGGTCCACACTCTCCCTCAGGACCAACGCTGAGGATACATCTTCTCATTGTGTATTGGGGTTTTATTCTCATTGTCTAACAGTCAAAAGAAGAACCTAAAACGTAAGGTCAACACATTTCTTTAAAATACTGGTATCTGCCCCAAGGGTTGAAGCAACTCTGCATTGTGCATGCCCTCGTGGACACAGACCCAGTTCTTTCATGGGTGGAGAGTTGAACTAGATGACCTCTAAAGTCAATTCCAGCTCCAAGGTCAGCTTTTAAGACAAACAAGACATTGAAGGGAGAAAACCATTCCTTGTGCCACTTGGATTACATATAACCCAAAAGCCCATCTCACACTCTCTCTCCCTTTCCCCTTCTCTCCTTTTCTCCTCACCTTCCTCTCTCTCCTACCCTCTCCCTCTCTCGCTCCATCTCTCTCTCTCTCTCTCACACACACACACACACACACACACACACCCCTCTTTGGCATTTCACTATGTTTAACGTTCTACCTGCTCACACATTCCTGGAGCTGGTCTACCATTATTCCTCTCCTACCTTCCTTCCAGGCACCACTCATTCCCCTGTGTAATGACATGTACTTCCTCTCTTTTCTCCCTAACGTAATCTGGCTTCCTGGATCCCAAGAGATCTACATGGAACTTTTTCCTGCTCCCCATCTGGAAGGGGACAGCTTCCCTATAAAACAAAAACCTACAAGGTTAGGGCAGAGAAAAGCCTGCCCAGGAATCTCCAGAGGGGGACTGGAACCTATCCACTTAGCTGACTCTCTCCTTCCTTCCCCTGGGGTCCCGTCGCTTTGATTCCCACTGCTGTGGCCAGACCCAGACCCTGTGGATGTGCAGCTTCTCCTTCAACACCAAGCAGGCAGAGACAAGACCCAAACCCCCTCCTGCCCCCTAGAATAGACTAGACTAGAATTTCAAAAAGAATTTGCTTTGTCAAACAAGCGAAAGCAAAAACAAGAACAGTGAATGGAAAATGAAAATGAAACAATATGACAAGACTTCAAACAGCAAGTTATTAAAGAAAGCACACAAAGAGGTGGAAGATTATTTACATGATGCATAAGCTAATTAATTACATGCTATATAGAAATGTGAAGAAAAGGGAACATAAAATTGATAAAATGTATAGAGATTAATTTCTGAGTCTACCTCCACCGATTAGCACAGCACGCAACACTTTTCCTCTTCCTATCTGACGTGGCCCTGCTCAGAGAATAACCCTTTTGAATTCATGAGCACCTTCCCTTCCCATTGACTTCTCCAGTAAACTCCTTCCAGAAAAGATGCCCTGATCACAAGGATGCTTCTGGGGAAACCACAGATGTGGAGGAGATCAATTTATTGATTGGGCAAACACTGAGCACCTACTTTGGATATCGTATCAAGTCTGTATGAACAGTGCTACCCCCACTCTTCTCCAGGGTCCCATCAGCATAGACACAGTCTAACGACGAAGGGTTCTAGTCCATGACCACCTCTCGCATCCACCCCACACACAGCCATGGAGAGCAGTACACAGGAAGATCCCACACACAGTCTGTCTTCTGACTCCTTCCCCCAGCTCATCAGATTCTGATCTTAATGTTCCTGCATAGATACCCACAGACAAATATGCTTCCATAACCCCTTGCTCTCCCTCCACAATCCTCTGTTAGGCTAAGCCCCTCCAGTACTTGTCTTCATTTTTGGTTTCTTTTCCTTCCGGAAGTCCAGTATCCAACTCTAATTCCAAAAACAATTCCACTGCCCAGCTGTCTGTGTCCAGCAGGTGTCGCCCTTCATTGGAAACAATCGCACCTCTCTTCTACCCCTTAACAGCAGATGCTCTTTGGCTTTGGGTACAGGGGAATGGAAGGGTGGCTCTGAAGAGTGTGGTGTGCTCACCAGCATGAGGGTCCTCAGAATAAAGCAATCTCCTTACTTCCAGCTCAGGTAAACAAACATCCTATAAAGAATTTGTTCTTTGACCCTGGACACGCTATTTAACCTCTCTGAACCTCACTTTCTTTGTCTATAACATGGAGGGAGACAATCTATTCCTTATGGGGTTATAGTGAGAAGTGAATGAGATACAAACAGAAGGCACTTAGCCCAGTACCTAGGTCATGACAAGCGCTCGAGCTATGGTCCCTTCCCCACTTAAGGTATGGAAAAAATAACTGCCCAGAACTTAGATCTGAAGTTAAGCTCTGCCCCCTGAATCCTGACTATCTGAGGGTCTGTGTCAGGGTTGCGATGAGGATTAAATGAAATAATGCATGTAAAGCACCTGGGGCAATGCCTGGCCTGGAAAGTTGAGTGACCGATAATAGCTAACGTCACTATTGTGGGCTCACTATGTGTCAGATGATGTTGTCAGCCGTTTACAAGTATGAACTCATTTAATCCTCCTGAGATCCCTTATAAGGTAAGTAAACTGTTAATCCCCTTCCCCTCCTTTACTCTGTGACTCTGTCCCATTACAGTTTAATTTCTTCTTATAAATTATAAATCAGAAAACTGCCCCGAACTCTGTCATGTCTAGATGGGAAAAGGCACTGATTCCTCCACCCAAGTAGGACAGAATTAACCCCAGCCCCTAACTCCGCTCATTCCTAGTCCCTCCTCAGGGCCTCAGGAAAAAGCACGGAAAAACAACACCAGAGTTTATTCCTCAGAGACGATCACCAGCCACTCACTGCCCTCTGTGGGGCCCCCAGGAGGGCCCTTAGCCTCCCTCCCCAGATTACATTCCCCATAGAAATATAGCTTGGACAATAACTTGGTTACAGAATATTCCCAGGAATGAGCTCCCCCAAGTTGCTAAGGTTTACATAGGAGGACTGGGAAATTCAAAGAATTGGATGGAAAAACCATAGGATCCAAGAAACTGTGAATGGTTTGAGGATGTTGGAGGGGCACAGCAGCATGACCGAGAGTTTGAATCTCCTCACTTGGAGTGGAAGCTATCGAATTCTGCCTCTAGGAAATGTGCTGACCTGCAGAAGAAATAAAAAGGAGATAAGGCTCCAAACCAACTTGAGCCCATCATTTATCTGGATAACTATCCATGCCAGAGACCTTAATACAGTGATATCGAAAATTCTAGATTACCAAGAACTAATACTAAGGAAGCCACCTTCAGGCTCCTCTCCATAGACATGCCATTGGTAGAAGAGGAAGGCAGGCTCTCCTCTTACCTGCTCCTAATCCCAAAAATGGCAGCTTAAATCATGCTCTTGGCTAGATCCTGGGGGAATCACCCCTACTATAGGCACCCGTAGCTGAACCCAGTGCTGACCCCCTCTAACTCTCACCCCCTCCAAAGGACTAGTAGGCAAACAAACCAACAGAGATGTTACCTTCTGGATAATTGGACCCAGGGAGGACAGTGTAGCCTAGGAGAGAAAATGTGTGATTAGAGGACAGTCTTTGTAGATAAAAGCATCTGGCATTATTCACAGCAAATGGGGCAGCAATGGAAGAACCAGTCACAAACAGAAAGTGAGCAGAGATTGGGACTGAGAATGGCAAAAGGAGTTCAAGAGGGTCACTCACCAAAGGACCTAGCTCTCCGCCAACTGAGCAAACCAAGAAAGAGGATGATGAGGCCCAGGCCCAGCGTCACTACAGACACAGAAACCTTCACTGTCTGCGATGGAGACAGCCCAGGTGCTGCAAAAGTAGAAACTTTCTAGAACCAATCTCTGTTGCTCATCCTAGCAACCTAATTTATTGCGACTTCCACCTAGCAGGTTCAAAAGGTGTTTTATCCCAACCCCAATGATCTAGCTCACACCATCCCACTCCCAAGGAAATGGCCTTTCCTCAAAACCCTATGCTTGAAATCTCTGCTCCTAGAGTAACCTGGAGGATCCATCTCCTCTGAGTTAGCACCCCAGCTTCCAGTTCCTGTCTAATATGGTGGGGCCTTTCAAGGCATTCTATTTTCTTCCTTCACCCAAAGGCATCCTCACCAAAGGATAAAGGGTTCCTCATTCCCCTCTCCATTTACCCCATGATGACAATGTTTTCTCCCTTACTTGTTCTATTTGAGCATTTTCCTATTAAAATGGCTTTCCACCTTTCCTAACTTCCAATAGTTCTATTCCACGAGTTATTCCATTACATTCCAAATACTTGTGTTTCCTATCTGTCCGCATACGGATTTCTCACGTGTCCTTTCAGGACCTGTCTCCATCCCGTTCCACAGCCCACCCCTTCCTGGAGCTGTTCACACTCTGAATCCTGTCCCACCTGGATTCCTTTCTTAGGCTAAAATGAACATTCCACCACCAAAGGAGACTCCCTGTGCATGCTGTGAAGATTTTTCCCCAGGTGAGCTCAGGTGAGCACGTGGGTTCCACTCTCTACTCCTCATGCTCTTCTCAGCTGCCCAGAAAGACACAACACTCCTGACAGGGGGAGGCCTGGTCTCAGTAGCCAGTCTGGGATCCTGTTGCCTGGCCCTTTGTAGACACCCTTCTTCTTCCTCATTTCTTCCTCTTCTCTTTCCCAAGAACCCCCAAGTCTGCGTGCAACTTCTCGCCTTTCCTTTAACTACCAATTACTACTAAGAACCACTTCTGAGGTTCAAACAATGGTGATTGGTTCCTTGTTCATTAGCCCCAAGCATGCACACCAAAGTGTCTACCAGCCGTGGCTCTTTCATCCCTGATAGAGCAGCCCAAATTCAGTACTGCCCGCATACCAAAGAAAGTCTCCTTTCTTCTGCAACTTTCTTTATTTCTCCAATTCCCATTCCTGATCTGACAACAAAACAGTTGAAATCTGAGGATCCCAGAATATTGCATCACAATTTTCGGTTCTGAAAATGCGGTTACCAAATCTACATCCTCTTTTCAGGACAGTCATGCCCTCCTCCCACCCTCAGACAAGTACACAACAACATCAACCAAACCACCACAGCAACAACAATAACTCACTCTTTCCATTCCTGTATCCTCTTGCCCCATCTCTGGTCATAAGCCCTCCATAAGCTCCTCCAGACTCACTTCTCATTCTCAGCATCTCCCTCTCCACCATATACCATGGACCTATCCATATCTCACTCCCTCTTCCAAAATATTGGTGTTCCTTTTTCAACCACCCACTTCCAAAATCTCTCTGCTTTAACGCTAATTCCTCCTACCTGCCAAACACTTACTCCAGTCATGACGGATGGGCTCAGGAGCCCCAGTGTGCTCCACCACACAGGTGTAGGTGTCCCCAAAAGAGGGGGTTGTGGCTAAATGGGAGACGGTCTGGTATGTCCAGTCTCCATTGGGCTGGGCAGTCTTATGGGCACTGCTGTGAGGGGGGATAAACTGCCCATTCTTCATCCATGTGATGGTCACATCAGCTGGGTAGAAGCCCCACACATAGCAAGCCAGCATCACAGGCTCCCTCGTGTTAAAAGGAGTAGTTTTGGCTACTTGCACAGATGGTGGCCCTGCATAGGAGGAAAACACAGTCATGAAGAAGGGAAACGTTCTGGCTTTTTCTCCTACCTGGTTTCTTTCTTACTTCAATTCTTCAGGGATTTTGCCAACCTACCTCCCACCCCATCCCATTCTACCACACATGCCTTTGAAAATGAGGAGTTAGAATTTACTCCTGCTTCACTCTTTCTTTTCTCCCATTCCTTCGCTGCCCCTTCCATTCTTTTCTCCTCCAAAATTATGTTTGATCACAATAAGTAGAAGCTGGATCTGAACAGCAAGCTGTTTCAGAAATCATTGTATTTATTTCAAGCTCATAAGCTAACAGTTGTACAGGGTTATAAGTTGGGGTTTGTAAAGGCAGAAAAAGACTTGTGTCCTCAAATCTCATTTAGCAAATTAATTTGCTAAATAAAATCTATTTTTCCTCAGATAGTTTAAGGAAACAAGCCTAACTCAGGACTAACTCTCTTAAATTTGGATTAGTATAGTCCAAATTAATGAGATTGTTAATATTGCCTTCTTTTACTAGTTTATTCTCCCAGGTGACCCTCCTGCTTGCCTCTACCTTGGTGCTTTTCAAACAAAATCTTAAATAAAAATCCAAGAATTGTGTTAAAATGCAGATTCCCTAGCCTGCATCCCCAGATAATTTCATTCAATGGATCTCTAGTGGTACTCAAGGGCTTGCTTTTTTGTTGTTGTTGAGGAAGATTAGCCCTGAGCTAACATCCATTGCCAATCCTCCTCTTTTTGCTGAGGAAGATTAGCCCTGGGCTCACATCTATATCCATCTTCCTCTACATATATGTGGGATGCCTGCCACAGCATGGCTTGATAAGCAGTGCATAGGTCCATGCCTGGGATCCGAAACTGAAAACCCGGGGCCGCCAAAGCCGGGTACACAAACTTAACCACTATGCCATCAGGCCTGCCCCAAGGGCTTGCATTTTTAACAAGCACCTTCCCTAGGCAATTCTGAGAAAAGTGGTTCAGAAATCACACTTAAGACACACTACTCTGTCCTATGGAGATCTTCAAGTTTTCTTTTACCAAGCCAAGTCATTCTCAATGCAAGGGATTAAGGGTGAGAGAGCATGCGTCGGCATCTCCTGGAAGACTTTCCAAATATTCCCAAGCTTGGGCCCATCCCATACCTAGAACATCAAAACCCGGGATAAAGAGGCATGAACATTTTGGGAAAACCCATTCTGGTTATTCTGACACACCCCTGGTTGAAGTTGGACCTGCATCCTGAGTTGCCCTGCATAGGAGGAAAACGTGCTTACTCTCCCATCAATAGCTCCTCACCAGCTCAAACATCACCTCTCTTCTTTATTCTTGGTCCACCCCCATCAACCACCTTGTTTCCCCTTCAGGGTCAACACTCCCTCTTTCTACACTCCAAGTCCACATATTTTCTGCTTCTTTCCTGCCCAAATGTCAAACCCCTTGCCTGCTGAGGGATCCTCCTTGGCCTCCCCTCTCCTAACTGTGCCTCCTAAGAGCCCCTCTGTACCCCTCTCTCCTTACGTGTCCTATTGGTCAATGATCCCCAGAAGGGCTGGGTGAGTGTGGCACAGTCCTGGAGCCCATTGGACAAGCGCTGGAGTAGGCTTTTGTTTTTGTTGAGGTACGTTGAGAGGTATGTGGCCAGGCCATTCAGCACCCCAAATTCACAAGGGGCCATTGTGGCATTCTCTGGATCCCAGCAGGTCAGCAAATCCTTGTTGAAGGAGACACAATACGTGAAAACCTTTGGAGTTCCATCATCATCCAACAGACAGGTGCTTTCCACATGGGCCACAAAGCCACCTACAGGAGCCAGAGAAGAGAGACAGGTCAGAGTCCTCTGCAGGGAGCCCAAGCCTCAGTTACACCCAGTGAGTGAGGCACAGGTCTCCCGCCTTGGGCAGCATCTACTGACCAAGCTCATGTGCTGGAGTCCCTGGGAGCCCCAATTAAGGGAATAGATGGTAGCAACAGAGAAGTTTTCAGATCCCATTCCCTCTTATGTGAGGGATGCATGTGAGACTAAGTGTGGGGACAAGTGTGGCCCAAAATTACTTGCATGTTCGAACACGATGATTTACCCAGGACAAGACCTTCAGTAAGGCAAATTATTGAGTGAGAATATTGAGTGCTGCATATAGTATAAAATGTTCACTCCATACGTATTTATGAAATGCTCTTCTCTGTGCCAGGCACTGTGCTAGGAGCTGGGGATGCGGCAGTAAACAGGATAGCTGTTGCCCTTGCCTACATTCCAACAGGAGATATATATTACACAAATAAGTATACATCTTAATTACCATTAAAATTACTGCAAAGGTAGAGTGCAAAGTGCTATAGGAGTATATAACAGGGAGACTAACTAGTCAGGGGTGTTCGAATCCAATAAGAAAACTGAACTCCCTTAGCCTGAAACAGGAGCAGAAGGGAGGGTCCCAGGAAGAAACGTCCTTACCTGCTCCGGTGCAGCCCAGGCTGAGGCCCAGCAGCAGCGGCAGGAATGTGGTCATGTTCTGCTCTGGGGAGACACTGGTAATTTGGTCCCCTGGACCAGCTCTTCCAGGGGCCTTGGGACCTCGCCTGCTCTAGGATCCCCAGCCTGGGTAGCTGATCTCCAGACCCTGAGTGGAATATGGTGTGGCCCAGGCTCCTTGATCCCTGCTAAACGAGTGATTTGAAGCTACGCAGCCCCTAAATACTAAACTTGTTCCTACCAGCTCTTCCAAGTCAGGCGTCCCAAACTGCAGTTGCCAGATTGGCTAGATAGGCGGGGACTAATGTAGAGACAAATCACTGATTGCCTCAGCCTAGCATCATCAGTTACTGGGTAAATCTCATCCCGCCCTAGGCTTTAAAGGACTCCTCGTCTCTCTCTCAACTCTTTTTCTATGGAACAACCAGTCTGTAGGTGGATTTCCCTAGATCAGTGGAAAGAATAATCCCAATATTCCCAAGATGTATGTAGCCTAGACTGCCCACCGGTTTAACTGTTTCCTCTCAGTGTCCTCCCCAAAGACTGAGACGAGATAACCTCTCTTGTTCCTTAAAGGAAGGTTACTTAGGAAGATATTACATAACCCTTGGTCTGTCCCAGGAGACAGGAGGACATGGGGCCCTTCTGGGGCAAGTGGCAGAGGCAATGCTGCTGAGAAGGAACAAGGCACAGGCAGAGTGTAGTTATCTGGCCTCAGAGCAAAACTGCAGATTAAAAGAAGCAGTTCCACCTTAGAGGTCAGCGACAGGGTGGCCTCCCTGGGCCTCCAGTGCTTCTCCTTTTCTAGCCAGTGGAGCTTCATTTCTTCCTTCCTGCTTTTTGGAGTCAGGAAACTCTATCCTCCTACACTCTGAGCGGTCTCAGGGCAGACCGCAGGGTAACTCCACATAAGCCCCTTGATATATAGTTGGTGATGGGCCTGTTCCCAAAGCTCAACTGTCTCCCCTAAACTCTGAACTCCTCTGTGTGTTTCCCCCACTGGTCCCATCTGTCCCGGGGCAGGTCCCTGCATTATGAAGGCACTAGAAAAATGAAATAAAGCTTCCCTACTTTTCTTCCCCTGAAAAAAACAGATTTTAAATGACAATTCATTCTCCAATTCCATTGTGAACTGTACAATTGATTGATTTTTCCATCATAAATTTAAAACTCTAAATTGGCTTCTCTCTGCTCCCCAACAGGCTTCAGGGCTGCCTCTCCTCACCGTAGTTTCTGAGAGCTCCGGGGTTTGATTTAACAGTGAGCTAAACGAAAGAGGATTAGGAGGGAGCCCCTTGACGCCATACCTATCTGTCCTCCCCCAAAGTCCCTGACCCCAAGAGAATCTGATATTTATGAAGAAAAAAGGAATAGGTAAAAAAAAAACTTGTACCAAAAGTGAATACAGATGTGAATATCAGAAACAAAGACTTGTTTTGTGTAATTAATTGAGATAAACTGAAGCTTTGCCCATGTTTCCCAGCCACCCCCACTCTCAGCCCCACCTTGGTTATAAGATTGCTCTATACTCTAAGTCCTCTAAGGAACCATCGGGGGTGTTGGAGTGGGCAGAAAATGGGGTGGGGAGCCCAAAATTTATTGAGCTTCTACTTTGTGGCGGGTACTAGCCTAGGTAAGCCCTTCACATGCTACCTCATTTAATCTTAAAAGACTAATTGTCTTTTAATTGTCATGCTAATTGTCCTCACTTTACAGTTTTGAAAAAAGGTCCAAAGGTTCACACCTAAGGTCTAGAGGTACACACACAGACACATACACACACATTTGAGCATGCCCGTACACTTTCTACATCTGGAGACTGAGATAACCCATGTAAAGATAGTTAGTGGTGGCCTCCACTGAGAAAAGGAGAAAGGGAAGCCCACCGATCCATCCAAGTCTCATCTTTCCTGTTCTCAGAATTCCTTCTGCTCTTAGAACCAGTGTCTCCTCCACTTTCTCTTTCGACAGTTTCAAAACTGCATGAATTCTCCTACATGTACACACTTCCCCTTTACATTTCCTCCTCCTCCTCCTAGGTAGGCGGTAAGCCTAACCTTGCTGGGATCCAGGTCTTGGGATCCTTTCCAATGTCTACAAAGCCTGCCCTGGCACAGGGATCCTCGCTGTGTGGTCTTGTGCCCGCGCGGGTGTGGCCGGCCACCAGCACGCTGAGGCTGAGTGGAGTTCCAACTCGTGTTTAGGTCTCCACTCTGGCAGCGAAAGGAGATGTGAAACCTTCTGTGAGGCAGCAGCAGGAAATGTGGAAGACTTCACTTCTCTATTCATGAGAAGACGGTGGTGCTTTTTAGAATAAAGCAGGACAGAAAACCTGTGAGACCTGTGCTCAGCAAAGCTGTTTCTTCCTTCCCTGCTTCCTCCTAACCTACTTTTTCTACAGACACAGCTCTGTCCCCCACCTGCAGTCAACCCAAAAGAATATTTCAACTGTCCTGTCCCTTGTTGGTGATTTGATAACTATTTATGCAGCACTAGGACTGAAGAAGTTAGGGAACCCCAGACAGCTTCCCACATGCTGTCCCTCTTTCACTGCCGCTGTGCGAGAGCCCAAAGAGTGAGCCCTCTCCTTTCCCGCTGCCTCTCCCCCAGGCTGGCCACCACATGCCAGAAGGGGACTAACTACAGTGTTTATGCGCAAAGCATTACAGGGAATACCCAGATAGGAGATATGGACTCTGCCCCCACATCATTTGCTTATAGATCAGTGGGGAATAAGAAGAAACATCTATAAAGATAAGAGTTTATTTTAAAGCAAATAAGCAATAAGTCCAGTGGACTTAGAAGAGAAAAGAGGAATCATTGTGGGTGTGGTGGGCAGGGAGTCGTCCCTATTGAGGGGGCCTGGAAGCGAGCCTTGAATACAGGGCTGGGTTCATGTCAGAGAAAAGGAAGGCAAGTGGCATCACAGTCCTGGCATATAACTCCATAGTCCTGGAAATATGAGGTGCTGTCGGGTTCTACCAGGAGCCTGGGGTGCCTAAAACAAAAACGAACTATAATAATGTCACTGGCATCACACGTTAAAGGAAGTCACAACTGTGGTCTCACGCTTTCTCTGAGAGTCTGGCCACACATACTTCCTAAAGTCACTCACTGTAAGTTCTCGGGGTTCCTCTTCTGGACAGATGGTTTTAACTCAAGCCTCCATTTTATAAACTCAAAAATTGCTCAACCCATCAATCATTTGCAATCTAAAACCAATAGCATGAAACCACACTGGTGACTTCCTTCAATGTCTTTTCAAAACAACACATACCTGCACTCTGCCAGGACTACATTACTTCCTGTTCTACCTCACCCCCACCCACCTCCCACTCCACCGCTCTCCTCTCACTCCCTCTTCTCCTTCAGGAGTCACTGCTCTAGACTCTGAACTTTGGGTTACACTTACTGTAACTAGTTCGTCATCCTTCCCTCCTGCAGCCAAATTACTTAAACTACGAGGAAATATTCTACCTGATTTGCCACCACAACTCTTGAAGAGTGTTATTGTCTCCATCTTAACTATGAGAAAATAGAGGCAGAGGGAGATTAGTGATTACCCAGATTTACCAAGATGCTAAGTAATAGAACCATGACTTAAACTCAGGATTTATGATTCTAAATCCTATACTCCTAATATTGATTAGAAAATAATTGAAAATTGCCAACCATTTATAGCAGTAATAAAAACCATAATATATTTAGAAATTAACATACAAAAGTATAAGAACTTTATGGGAAGAAAAATTTTATTAAAGTACATAAATGAAGACGTCAAGAAGTGAAGGGACATACCATATTCATGGATGGGGCATCCAAACATAATGAAGAGGTCAATTTCCCTCCATATCTCTAACATAAATGCTGTCCAAACCAAAATCATAGCAGGATTTGGGAAGAATTTGACAAGCTGATTCTAAAATGTACATGGAAATAAAGTCCATGAGTATCTTAGATGATTTTGATAAAGAAGAGCAAAATGAGGTCTTTTGGGAGGTGAGGTAGTAAAGGAATGGAAACTAGCTCTACCAAATATTAAAACATATTAAAAAGCCATAGTAATTAAAACAATATGATACTGACACAGGAATTGATAAATCAATGAAACTGAATAATCCAGAGACAAATCCATGCATAGAGGAGAACTTGGCATAAAATCCCTGGGAATAAATGGAATATTTGGTAAATGGTATTAAGAAGATCAATTTACTATTTGGAGGAAAAGAAAGTTGTATTCCTATTCACACTGTTTAGAAAAATTCCAGATCAATAAAGATCTAAATGTGAAAGGAAAACAATAACGCTAATAGAAGAAAGCATAGTGGAATATCATTATGACCAGATAAATATAAGGTAAAGCTTTTTTAACCAAAATTATTCATCAGAAAGGAGGGCATTACCTTATATATAAGTCCTTAGGTTTTTTCTTCCCAAATTATGGCCACTCTCTCAAAGCTGTTTGGAGAATATGCGTTATCCTGAAAGGATCTCAATTAACAAACACATGAGGAACCTCCATGATGTTTTCTGTAGTGGCTGCACCAATTCACATTCCCACCAACAATGCACAAAGGCTCACCAACAGTATGGAAGTTCCTCAAAAAATTAAAAATAGAACTACCATACGATCCAGCAACACCAGTTCTGAGCATTTATACAAAGAAAACACAAACACTAATTTGAAAAGATATATGCACCCATATGTTCATCACAGCATTATTGACAATAGCCAAGATATGAAAGCAAGCTAAGTGTCCATTGGTGGATGAATGGATAAAGAAATTGTGAGCTATATATATCATATATATGGTGTATGTATCTACATATACATAGTGGAATATTATTCAGCCATAAAAAAGAAGGAAATCTTGCCATTTGTGATAACCACGGACGGACTTCAAGGGCATTATGCCAAGTGAAATAAGTCAGACAGAGAAAGACAAATACTGTATGATCTCTCTTATACATGGAATCTGAAAAAAAAAAACCTTAAGCTCATAGATGCAGAGAACAGATTGATGGTTGCTAGAGGTAGGGGGTGGGGGATGGGAGAAATGGGTGAACTGTTTTGGTGGGTTTTTTTAGTTTAAATAAATTGATTTATTTTTAAAAAGTCCATAGCATAATCAAAAAAGTAAGTACATGAGAAGAATTAGAATAAAATTTTTTTATGAAATGTGACAGTGAAAATAACATGCTTACATTAATGTATTATGTTATAAAATATGTGATTTTAAATTTGTGAGTTAGTAACTAAATAAAGGTAGTTAGCAGACATTTGACTACATCCCTATGACTTCTATATCCCTAAAACTTTATATAATGAAATTGGTCAAAACACTTTTATAATAGTTTCATTGAGAAAATGGAGTATCACCTTATCACTTTATTTTCCAGCAAAACTTGTGACTTTGTTGCCTTGGGTTTGGAAAGGATTTCTTAAGATCATAAAAGCACAAACCATAAGGATTTTAATAAAATTAAATAATTCTATTCAGGGAAGGAACTGTATACAAATTTAACTGATGAGCAGCACACCGGAAGAAGGCATTTGCAGTGTTTATATTGACATAAGATTACTATACAGAATATATTATAAATCCCCACAAATTCACAAGAAAAAGACAAGAAAATGCAATTTTTAAAATAGACAGAAGATATGAATCAGCAATTCACAGAGAGAGAAACCTATGAAAAGATGCCCAGCCTCACTAGTAGTGAGAGAAAGGCAAATCAAAACGAGATACCACTTTACACCCACCATACTGCCAACATTTGAAAGTCAAATAACTTCAAGTGCTAGTGATGGAAAAGGAAAATAAGGGGCCGGCCAGGTGGCATAGTGGTTAAGTTCATGCGCTCCGCTTCAGTGGCCTGGGGTTGGCAAGTTCAGATTCTGGGTGCGGATCTATGCACCACTTATCAAGCCATGCTGTGGCAGTGTCCCGTATACAAAGTAGAGGAAGATTGGCACAGATGTTAGCTTAGGGCCAATCTTCCTCAAGCAAAAAGAGGAAGATTGGCAACAGATATTAGCTCAGGGCCAATCTTCTTCACCAAAAAGAAAGAAAAAGGAAAATAAGAACAACCTTACTCTGTTGGTGGGAGTGTAAACTGTTTATGATCCCTGAATTATAGAAATTACAAATTCGTTGGGTGAAAAAAAATTAACATATAAAACAAGGCAGCATATCCTTGAGAGTAAAGTCTGGGTTAAGTGTGCTAAGTCTTGGAAGAGTATAATAAAGGGCAATTATGGCTGGAGGATTAGGGAAGGGTTCATGGAAGAGGTCGAACTTGGGTTGGATCTACGGCGTTGTTTAAGATGAGAACACGCTGAGCAGAAAGAGAAGGCATTCCAGTGAGAGGGAAAAACCTGGGCAAATGTCCTAAAGTGAAGACAGACATGATACTGTCAAGGAAGAGTGGTGAAAAATGATTCATTCAAGAACAAGATTCCTGTTGGGAAGAGTGGGTAATATTTTTTATTAAAAGGCAGACACCAGACTAGAGAGGCTCTTGAATGCTTCTCAAGTGTGAAAAGTGACAGTACCATAGGATGCTTGATTAGAGAGCATCTAAGCTAAGCCCATCATTTTAAAGATGAGGAATTTGAGGCCCAGAGAGTGACTTGGCTAAGGTCACACAGCATAGAAAAAGCAGTTTTAAGGCTTGATTGGTAGGAAATTTCTGGATAAGTTGGAAAATAGAGAGATAGAAATCCAGAAGAACTAGAAAGCAATAAGAGACAGATGTAGAATAGTAAAATGAAAAGAAAAAGAAAGACATCTCAAAAGGGAGAAAATACAATACTTCAAGGTAAATTCAAAGTAAGTTCCAGAAAAGAGAAGAGGTCAATGATGCTGCCAAGCTCCCCTGTGAAAATCCTTGCTAAGTTATTGAGCACCTTTCCTATGTGCTAAATACTGTTCTAAGCATTCTACAGATATTAACTTATTTAAGCTTCACAACAACCCTGTTAAGGTGGGCACATTGTTATCATCAGCCTTTTACAGAACATGATACAAAGGCACAGAAAGGTTAAGCAACTTGCCCAAGGGCACACAGCTAAAATGTGACAGTCACGATTGAATTCCCAGCAGTCTGGTTCCAGAGCCCATTCTCTTAGCCAGTACACATGCTGCTCTTAGAAATGAGACGGCTCAGAGGAGGTGCCAACTCCTGGGAAGAATTGGATATTTTCCCTTAAATTACATTCTGATACAATTCAAAGAACAGAGATTCCCTCACCAATAGCAAAATAATTTCACTCTGAACCTTAATGCCACCCCCTCCTCCAAAGCAACTCCCAGACCCTAAGGACAGCAAGAAACAAAGCATATGCAAAGTAATTTATCACAGCAGTCATGTACCGCCTGCCCCCACTCTCTTCCCAGGACAGTACTGTCACAGTTCTTCTTGGATGGCCAAAGAACAGACCGTTAGGAAGGGCACATGAATTCTGGGCCCTTCAGTGCTCCTCATACTTCACTTCAGGAGCTGTTTTCACGGAACCGATATGACTGAGTTAGAATAGCATCTGAAGGCTTATTTTTCCCACTCCTGAGCTCCCGACTTCCCAGCTACGGTGCAGGCTGAAGGAAGTTATATATTTCTCAAGGCAGCCTATACTAGGCATAAACATTTTCGCAAACAGTTAAGTGCAGGAAAAAACCACAAGCATCCATCATTTTGTGAGCAGATTATCAGAAAGTAGCTCTGCCTTCATTTCTCACATATTTTGCACAAACTTGTAGGAGTAAAAGCCATCGTGTGGTGCTGAGACCAGGGAAGAGGAGTTGGCTGAGGAGTTAGGGGTTTTCCCATTTCCCTTTCTAATGAGGGCAAGCTGTGTTCAGGTTAAGGCATGTTGAATTTGAAATGACAACCCACTCAAGTTGCAATATCCAGAAACAAATATGAGTTAAAAAAGAGAAGCCACACCAATATGAAGAAATGAGATTTATTGCCTTGAGGTGGAAAGGGATGTGGTCGTGATAGGAAGGCCACTCTGTGCTCCCCTGGATGTAAGCCCAGGGACAGCAGAGCCCCCAGCCGAGAAACTTACACACACACACACACACACACACACACACACACACACCGGGGGAGTCCCAGGGGCTTCTGCTCTGAGAAGGAGAGATCCTGGGCAGGATGCGAGAAACCTGAGCATCTCCTGCTTGGATGGCTGAAGCTATTGGCGCCAGACTCTGGTCAGGAAGAATCAGTCTGAGGAGAGAGAAGGATGGAAGAAAGCCATCAGGGGGATCCTCCTCCTCCCTAAAGGCCCCTCCCTGCCTGCAGCACACCCTACAGAAGTTGATCTCTCCTTGTTCCCAAACAAATCATCTCCAAACACCCTTCCTACAGCTCCACACTCAAACCATTTCTGTGACCTATAACCGTGTGTGTGTCATCAGGACCCCAACTAGAAGGACGTCCCATGGTGCCCAATACAGGCCTCCCCACTCAGGGCCTGAAGATCACTATATGTCCTCCCCATGCCACAGGATAATCCTGGCATGCCCACACATGCACCACTGTATCTGGCTCCCATGGCTTGCCCACTGCCCCCCCGAGGTGCCCTGACGTACCACCTGAGCAAGGCCTTCGGAAGTAGATGATGAGGACTAAGCCAACAATGATGCCCAGCACACCCAGGCCAAAGGCCATGCCGCATAGCACATTCTCCAGAAAATCTGAGGGCAGGGCGTTCTGGGGCACTGGAGAAAAAGAGGAGCGGGTCAGCCTGGAGATCTGGTTGGGAAGCCCCCCACTCAGGGGAACGACACGGGTATGTGGGATGACAAGGGAGAGGCTGAGGCATGGAAGATGGAGGTTGACTCAGAGTGAGCATGGACTACACAAGATCAAGCAGAGAAAGAGGAGCCTCCCATGGGTCTATCCCTTTTTGCCCCAAAAATGAACCAGGTTTCCAGGGAGAAGGGTCTCACCCCAATAGGCAACTGCCGTGTAGCCGTCAATCTCATGAGTCACGAGGCAGGAGTAAAGGTCAGAGGGTGCCGGTGTGAAGTTTAAGTAAGAAAAGGCCTGGAAGCTGAGTCCATCAACAGCTGAGATAAAAGTGGGCCCAACTTCTTCCACAGGGTCCGAATGATGCTGCCAGTTCACCGTCAACGTGGGCGGGAAGAGATTACTGACAAAACAGACCAGCGTGTTGGGCTCGCCAAACTCCAGGGGCTTCAGCGTGAACACCTCAGTGATGGGGATCCCTGGTGGGGAGATTGAGGTGTGAGGGAGAGAAGTGACTAGTTTAGATGGTTCCCCTGTGCTTGGAGGGGACATGGCATACAGGGGGGAGGGCGGAGACAGAGTAAACGGGGATGGGCTTTGGGAGGAGAGATGAGGGAGGAGCTGGGGCTCTGAGGGAGGTCTTCTTCCAGGCAAGAACTGGACCTGGACCTACAGGCAGAGCCAGATCCAGGCCCCTGTGGACCCTTCCACCCTGACTTCCTGAGGCACTTCGTGTCTAGATCTCACATGGGCATCTAGTCACACGCTGTCTTCTCATCAAAACACAGGCTCATCATCAGATACTTCCCTTCTCCCCTTCCATCTCACTGAGCATAGTAACACAAGCTCTAATATTCTGTAGGCATCAATGGATCCCTGATGAATTCACCAAGTTCAACAAACAGTTTTGAATGCCTACTATGTCCTAGGCACTTATCTTCGGCCCCACAACAGAAACAGAGTGCAGACCAGGGCTGGTACAAAAATAAAGGTCCTAGGGGAGAAGTAGAAGGTGTTAGAGGTGGGAGCTAGTATGAAAGGGAATAATTAGATTAATTAGCATATAGACTAATGAGAGGTTAAGAATGCAACCCCCGTCCCCCCATTCCCCGAAAAATCCCTGACCTCTGGAGACTGGGATTTGCCCTTCAAGATGGGGCCCTATTCCCTGGATCATCTCCTGGCAGAATTGTTGGTCAAAGAAAATGGCGGAAGTATCTCTAGCCTTCTGAGCCCAGTCAGTAAATTCAGGGAGGCGAGGCACGCGGGTGTTCTGGGAAAAGTTGAAGGAGAAAAGCTGGTCCTCATCGTAGGTCTCGGACAGTCCCACGCTGGGAGTCCCATTCTGGCAGTATATCGCGTGCAGGAATGTGTGGTTTTGCAGATCATCCTGCCATACTGGAGTAAGAGCTGCAAAGGAGACAGGGTGTTCAGGGAGCTGTGAGCCTCCTCTTCCTCCTTAGCTAAGAAAACAGCAAGACTTGCTTCAGGGAGAGGGGTTGGGGGTGGGGTATAACCCCCTCTTGTGTCTGCTATTTAGGATCTCCCTCCCAGTGAGGGTGAAAAAGAAATTACAGGATCTCTCCAAACTTCCCCTGCCCATAAAAGGCCAACAGTCTCAAGTTGTAAAAAATAAAAAAGGTCTACTGTCTAAAGTGACAGATTCAGAGTCACAATGTTGGTTGTGTGCTTGTGCACTGCACGAAGGCACTCAGTCATGGAGGTAACTGGAGGCCGAAATCTAGCCTGCACTCTGCTCACCAAGCGATGCATCCTGGCACAAGGCTGCACTCTCCCAAAGGGGATACTTTGTCTAATTCACAGAAGGCCACCATACTGACTTGCAAAGGGCCTGGATGGGTTCCCCAGTCTCAGAAGAGAGGGTGAAGGAATGGTTCTGGTCTCTGCAAGCCATAGATGACACTGCCCCATCCTACCCCCAGACAACCTGGTAAAATGAAAAGACAGTCTTCAGGGTTCTCTTCAGCCACTTCATTAGCACCAGGCCTCTCTGAAAACGTCTTCCCCTCCCTCAACTCTCCAGGCCTTGCAACGACAGGATTGGGGGAGGTGACCTCATAGCTGTAGGAAATAATCCCTATTCTTTGAAACTCCTGGCAGGAATCCCCCCAGCCAGCAGGAAACCTTCTACCTAATACCCAATACCTAGAATAACAGACATTTAGAGTAAGAGGGATCTTCCAGATTATTTTTCCATTCTGCCTCATCCTTTACAGAGAAGGAAACTAAGGACCAATAAAGTTAAGAGATTTTTCAAGAATCACAAGATGAGTTGATGACAGAGTGCAGAGTAGTCTCCTAGGTAGAAGAGTGGAAATAACATCTGCTTTGTTCAAATCCCAGCTCTACCACTTTCCAACTGTGTGAACTTGCACAAGTTACTTAAGCTCTCTGAGTCTTGTTTTCCTCCTCTGTAAAATGGATATAATAATCTCTGCTTCAAAAGATTGTCTTATATGGAATACGTAAAGCACTCTGACATTGTTTGCCATCCATCCATAGTTGATCTCTTTCCCAATCCTACTATTGTTTCCACTATCCCATAATATTTCCCATCACTTACAAAGCACAGGGCTCTTCTTCAATGCTCTGGGTCGGCTCCCTAGGCTCTAACCCAGTCAGGATTGAAGTAAAGGGGAGGTAGTGTCATACCTCCAGGGGCGGTCCAGGACTGGGGCAGCAGCCACAGAAGGGGTAACAGCCTTAGCAGCGCAGCTCCCTGCCTCTGATCATGATCCATACCTTCACACCACACAGTGGGCTAGGACCTACCCACCAGCTGACCCAGGTGCCCAAACTCCCTCCCCAAGATCGTGTTCCGCCCTCTCACTTCCAATAGTTGCCCTTGGCATTTTGACTAAACCAATCACAGAAGTGTAGGGCTTAACGTCATCGGTCGCTGGGGAGAGACCTGGGGCCAGCAACCTCCTGAAGACTTGGCTCTTTTATCAGGCCGGAGTGGGGTGTGTAACTGGGCTGGGCAGGCAAGGGAGGAATGTCTGCCCCCTGCTGGGGATCCCTCTTTAGTATCAGGTTGTCAGCCTCAGCCTGTAGCCAGACCAACGGGCGCTTCAGAGCAGCGCCTCCCCGTGGCAGAACGCTGCAGTGGGGAAGCTCATCTTCCCACAGCAAACACCCCCCGGACACCACCCCAGGCTCTTTAGACCCCGCCTCCTCCTCCCTCCAAGCCCCCCCTCCTCTTTTCAGAGAGGTATTTTTCAGGCATTAGCTTCAATTCGTTTTGCAGAAATATATTGAAAATTTGTAAGTGCTAGGTATTGGGCCCAGTGCTAGAAATACAAAGGTGAATAAGGCATATTCCTGCCTTCAAAGAGCTTAAAGTCTAGTAGGAGGAGGGTCAATGAATAAATAATTACACAACAATGTAATACATTCAAATAAGAATGTGCCAAGTGTTTTGGAAATAGTAATTTTATGAGGATGGAGGAATAAGTGGCACATAATCAAGGCTTCTAAGAGTCTTGAAGGAAAAACAATTTGACCAGCAGAAGGTGAGGGAAGAGAAAAGCATTCCAGAGCAAGGGGTAGGCAAATGTGTGGTCAAAGGCGCTCAGAGCTCCTTCCTTTGGAGGCCTCTGTATAGCTGGATGTGAATGTTGTGGAGGCTGCTGGTGTGTCCCTGTTTGGTAATGGGGAGGAGGAGGGGAGGGTCAAGATGAGCTGGAAATTTAGGCAAGAGCTAGATCACATAGGCCCTGTTATGCCCCAAGGAGGGTCTGGCTTTTACTTAGCAGATGATAGAGATATTAAAACTGATGAGTGACACAATAATTTTAACATTTTAGAAAATTTGTTTTGATATTTCAAACAATGGGAGCTTGGAAAGAATTGAGGCAAAACTGCTGGTCAAGAGTCTATAGTATATTACATCAAAATAAAAAGTTGCTTGTACACACCTGCACACCACCCCCTTGTAGCAATATAGCAATAATTTAGGCGAGAAATGATAAGAGCCTGAATTAAGTCTTGAACAAAGGAGATAGAGGGAATCAAATATTGAGATCATTAGGAATCTAAAGGGCTTGGCTACTTACTAATCAGATGTGGGAAGGTGAGATGGAGGGATCAAAGATAACACCAAGGTTTCTAGATTGGGTAATGGGATGGGTGGTCAGTGATGGACTGAACTGAAATAGAAAAGAATGCCATAGAAGCAGGTTTGATGAAGAAGAGAATGAGTTCAGTTTTGTATGTGTTGAATTTTTGAGACTCCAGGAACAACCACACAAGGAGGCATGAAGTATATGGTTATGGATCTCAGGTATGGGCTGAAGAACCTTAATGGAGTCATCAGTCCAAATGTTGAAGCAGAGGTGGTGGATAAGATCACCCAAGTAGACTGTGCAGAGGGAGTGGGAAGAGACACAAGGACATAAGTCTACGTGGGTTCAAACCCCAAACCTCAAACCAGTTATCATCCGGGATCCAGTCAGGAACATACAGCCACTCTAGATATTTCAGACTGAGAGAACTGACTATAAAGAATTGGTTACAACAATGTTAAAAGGGCAATAAGTGCAAAAGGGAAAAAGAGAGTGGCTGGAGGTGCAAATGGGAAAGAAGAATACCTGGAAATCAGGAGCTGCTGTCACCTCTGAGCTGGAATCTATGTCTACAGCTGCTGTTGCCCTGTGGGAGACACTGTCATAGTTGGTTCTAGATCTATTGGAAAGGTGTCATCTCCATCAAGGCTGGATCATTGAGAAGGTACTTCCTCTGCCGAGGAGGCCAGAGTCCAGAATCACCCATTCTTGCTGCTGCTACATCTACCAGCAACTGCCATTCTGTTAGAAACTGAAGCAGGAAGCTTCTTGGTTTCTCCTGCCTTCTGATCTCCCGCCAGAGCCTCCTATTGAGAATCTAACAGGAAGCCAACTGGTCAGGAAGGCTGGGAAGTACACACCTTGCAGACTCCTAGGCTGAGCAGTCCAGAACACAGCACAGGAGGGTGGGAGTGGGACTGGCACTAGATAATAACCAGTACACTGAAAAGCACTAATTTGTAAGAATTGGGTGGCACCAGGAGCATCCTGAGAGCAAAGAGAAGATCAAGGAAGAAGCAGATTCAGAGAAATAGAGGTGTTCCATGGAGAAGGGCAAGATCAGCATTATCAAATGCTACTCAGAAGTCAAGGAAAGACTGGAAAGTGTCCTTTATATTTGGTAATTGTAAGATGGTTGACAAATATATTGAGAGCAGTTTCAGTGTTGTAGTGGGAGTTGACTCCAGATTGTGGTGGGCTGAGAAGTAAGTGGGAGGTGAGGAAGAAACTGTCAGTGTATATGTTGCAAGTTTGATAGAGAAGAAGAAAGACAGAAGGGGTCGGGGGAGAGGCAGTGAGAAAGATCTAATGTGGCAATTAAGTAATCTTAGAAATTAATCTATGTGAATATGGTCCATCAGTGTTTCTGACTTTCAAAATCCATACTCTCTTGTCAAAAACCAGTAACAGCAGCAATGACAGCCCCAAACAACAACAACCCCATGACCTCTTGGATATTCTGAAACACTAATGTGTGTGTGTGTGTGTGTGTGTGTGTGGTGAGGGCGGGCAGAGTGCCAGGGTCAGTGTAGGGTTTGGAAATTATTGTGTTACCCTTCAAAAAACAGAACATTTTCCCAATGTCCCACTCTTTGTAGACTAACCCATCAGTAATTCCTACAGTGGGAAGATTCGGGCCGAGGAAAATAGAAGGGAAGTTTGTGACATCACCAGGACTATAGGGGGAGATATATGACACACAGCCACCTAGGGTGTCAGCAAACTTTTTCCGTGAAGGACCAGATAGTAAATATTTTAAGCTTTGTGGGCCAATCTCTGTTGAATAATCAGCTGTGGCACGGAAACAGCCATGGGCAAGATGTGAATGAAAGAGCATGGCTGTGCTCCCGGTTTCCTCCCGGCTTTTCCTCCCATTTCTCAGGCATCTCCTTCTCAGTCTCCCTCACAGACTACTTTCTTTCAGCAACTCTTTAAACGTTGGTGTTCCCTGAAGTTTTGTTCTTAACCTTTTTTACTTATGGACACTTAAATTTAAATTTCATATGATTTTTGTGAGTCATGAAATATAATTCTTCTTTTGCTTTTTTTCAACCATTTAAAACTGTAAAAACCATTCTTAGTTCTCAGGCCATATAAAAACAATGGCTGGATTTTGCTCACAGACCAGTTTGCTGAACGCTGTTCTATGCATGTGGTCAGAACTGAGATGGGAGACCTAAAATAAACCCACCCTCCAAAGAAGAGCCTCATTTCCCCTTGGGGGTGGCAACTGGTTAGTGACTACATTGTGCCCCAGAGACAAGAGATCATTTGGAAGGAGGTCTGGGGGTGAGGGGAGCAGGAGGAAGAGGACTGGGTGGGAGGGCTAGGAACAGGTATAGCAGACACTGCAACTACTCTGGGTGGGAAGAATGAGGCAAAGGAGTCCAAGTTCCCCACAGAGAGTAGAATGTGGACAAGACTAGCATGAGGAGGAATGTAGTCACTCATCAAGGCAAGGGCGAGGTGTGGTTAACTCCTCTCTCCTGGTATAAATGCTAACAAGTTCAAACATTTGTAATGACCCTTCCCTCTATGTAATCCTTCTTCCTGTCAGGACCCTCCAACAGCCTCCATAATAGATATCTCAATAATAGTTTCTAATCAGTTTGGGGAAGTGATAATTGTGGGCAAGAAAGTAGCAAGGCAGCCAGTTCTGCATCCCAGCAACACACTATCTATTTTGGTCACTAAATATGAACGTCTATGAAAATAATGGCATAACACCCATAAATCCAGTAGGCCAGGACTTTCTAACACTCAGCTCTCCCACCCCTTTCCAAATACTGCCCCATTGTTTTTCCTGGAAGAACCAAATTTCCTAAAAAAGTTGTGGCAACCATCTCTACATTTTCATACTTGCCATTTAATCCTTAAATGGTTCACCAATACTTTTCTGTTGCTAAATCAAATGGACTCTTTGCAGTCTCTGCCACATTTGACACTGTTGGCCATGCCCTCCTTCCTAAAACGGTCTATTTTTTTTGGCATCCCTGATGGCACTCTCTCCTAGTTTTCCCTCCTACTTCTCTGGCGTCCTGTCTCTTCTATGGACTCCTTTCTTGCAGCTACCCTTTAAGTGCTGGTGTTCCCTGGAGTTTTGTCCTCAACCTTTTCTCTTCTTACACTACACACTTGCCCTGGATGGCATTTACTCCCACATGCCTCCAGTTACCAGCGATTTGCTGACGTCTTCCAAACGGGCCCCTGCAGCTCAGATCTTGCTCTGAGTTCACACCACCCATACAACCAACTGCCTTTAGGCAGCTCCACTTGGATGTTGTGCAATAGCAGTTCTCAAACTGCATTCTCCACAAAACCGTCCCTCAAGAAATTTTTTAAAATGTAAATTTGATAGTAGCAATTTTTAATTTATTAATTTATTTCAACACAGATGTAACAAAACACCAAACATTTACATAATAATTTTTATTATGCAACAATTTATTATATTTAATAAGACTATTTTGGTTATAAGCAATAGAAACCAATTCTGGCTAACTTAACTTTTAAAATGGTGATTTATTTGAAAGATACTGAGCTAGCGCATGAAATCAAGAGTGGAATAAGCCAACCTAAGGAAGGAGAGCCGCAGGGGCTTTAGCAGCAGGGGTTGAGTTGTCATTAATATGCCTCACCTTCAAAGGCCTCCAGCCTCTATCTTTCAAGTTTCACATTGCTGGCAGAGAAAATCTGACTGGCTCAGCTTGTATTAGCTGTGCACTTCCGGATCAATTAGCTGAGGCCAAGCACAATA